TATATATATATATATATATATATATATATATATATATATATATATATATATATATATATATATACTTCTATTCAGGGAAGTATTTCTTTTGAGGGACAGACAGGAGCAATTGTTGGTCTGTGATATGCGCACAAGCAGTAGTAGTAGTGTCGAGAGGGTGGCGATAGATATGGTACCTCAGCATGATTTATGTATAGTAGGATGTATATACGTGTATGTGTGAGTGTGTGAATTTGTATTCATAATGGTGCATGTCCATCCCCCTTCGCACACATGACAAAAGTGGTGTTTCAATGGTCAGTCAGGGGTTGATAGTAGTCTATGATCCATGTGCGTGTGTCTCCATAATCTATGTATGTTTAAATATATATATATGTATATATACATATATTTGCTTACAACAAGTGGCCTATTTGGCGGACAGTCAGGGATAGATAGTGGTTTATGATCTGTGGGCCAAGCATGTATTTGGGAGGGCGTTTCCTGCCTAAGTCTCGGTATATGCGCGTTCAACGTTTGTATTTATTGGTGCATGTTCTACCTGAAGGCTGTCAGCGCTTCCTCTTCCCCTGGCTGGTGTCGGGGGGATATTCATTACCTTATTTGTGTGCCAGGTCAACCTTGACAAGTTTCATACCGGGCCGAATCACACCAGGTGCATCCCACCCCTACTCCTCGGGTGATGTAAAAAGCAGTGTCATTTACTATCACTATCCACCGACTCCTTTGTTGTTATAGCCTCTAACCATGGTTGTGTCTGAATCTGTGTCCGTTACATACATCTCATTCTCCTGTTCGCTCGTGCCACACTGTTTCTAAACTCGGTCGCCACAGAAGAAGATATCGTGCATAGACTCGCATCCGTCGAAGGCCCTTCTGGTCACTTCGTCACTGGATCGCACTGCGCGTATATGGGACCTACGGCAGATGAAGTCGGTATGTTGTCCACTTTTTTATTGTGTGTTCTATTTTCAGAAGGCTATGGTTCTCTGGTATAGCCTTGGATGTGGGGGGTGTGGATGTTTAGGGATGTATGAAGGCAGATGAAGTCGGTATGATGTCCACTTTTTATTGTGCTCTGTGGTATAGCCTTGGATGTGGGGGGTGTGGATGTTTAGGATTGTATGAAGGCAGATGAAGTCGGTATGTTGTCCCGCTTCATATGGTTATTGGTATTTGGGTGTGGGTGTGTAAAGATGTATGAGCAGACAGATGGAGTTGGTATGTTGTCCACTTTTATGATCTCTGGTTAGCCTTGGGTGTGAGTGTGTGCAGGGCTTTGTGAGCGTATATGCTTGTATGTGAATTCGATACGCATGTACGTTCACGACTCCAGGCGGTTCTCAAGCAATATCTCAAAGTAATTTGTATATCAATCGAACGACTTATTGACGCAGCAACTAGGGATTTTAAGGGATGTCTACAACTAGCTTATACATTAATCAAATGACTTTAGCAGAAGAGTTGTCAAGTAATATCTAAAAGTTACTTGTATATTAATCACTCGACTGATTCACACTGTAACAGAAGGGATGTGAAGGGATATCTAAAAATAGCTTATGTAGTAATCAAGTGACACCTGCAGAAGGATTATCAAGTATTAAAAATAGCTTGCGTATTAATCGGACTACTGATTGACATTACTTTATCTTGTATACTATTTTATATTTGAAGAATAAAATTTGATGCCAAATTGAACATTGACGACACCCCACAGAAGAACGGTTCAGTCAAACCCATAGAACCCATGGCCCAGTAACATGACAGCTTGACGTGACACGTCTTAGGTAGTATACTCGGCTGACACTCTATCAGAATGCAGTGTAAGTTTATCTGCAAAAAACTTGTATGATAACCAAACAATCGCATGACACCTCCACAGAAGAACGGCTCAGTCAAACCCATAGCCGAACAGACCTGCAGACTGTCTGTGAGTAGCGGATACTTCTCGCCCAGCGGAGCCAAAGTCATCACCACGGGCATGGACGATACAATCAAGGTGTGGGACTACACCGAGACACCGAAGACCAAGCCAAGCACCAGTGAGAAGGCCACGGTGGTTACCAAGCACTACAATCAGACGGGTAGGGTTTATTACTATGTAGGGTCTTATTGCTATTATTTCTTGCATGTATCTGGGTGGTGTTTCGGAATAGGCCGACACCCCTTGACGTATCTGGGCTGTCTGTTGTTGATGGTACATGTGGGGTCACTCTTTGTAGGGTTTAGAGTTTGCTACTTGTTCGCGCCTGTTGTATGCCTGTATTCGTTGTTGAGTGCAACGTTCACATAACGTTCATCTGAACGAGATCAACCCCATCGCAGCTGAGATAAGTTTAGCCAACCAAACGGATTGATCATTTGCAATCAGACATGTGTGACACGTGTTAGTCTTGACCATCGCAGTTGGAAGTATTCCTACTAAACAAACGGATTGTGTTTTTATATTGGTAAATGTATTTATATTCTGATCCGAGATGCGATGTGCTGGAGAGCTGTACAAGCTTCGTTTGGCGTTTGTAACGCGCGGGTTTTTTTCTTTAACTGACCTTTCATCTGTACAAGATAACGAAATTGGGCACACCATCGTATTGTCTATTAACCAAGTGCACTGGTTGTGTAGGCTGTAGGCCGATGTTCTCCCTCCCCAACGGGGCTCTGTATTTAACAGTATTGGAATGAAGAATACATAAATGAACAAATAATTAATTATATGGTACTGCTCCCAATTTTGATTTCATACAGGTCGATGGGTCACGAACTTCAGAGCGAAGTTCATTGGAGAGAACCATTTCCACATAGGCAACATGAAGCGAAGTGTAGATATCTACGCAGAGAATGGTATGTGTGCAGGTGTCAATATGTGTCAAGAAGTGTCAAGTGTCAATATGTATCAAGAGGTGTCAAGTGTCAATATGTGTCAAGAGGTGTCAAGAGGTGTCAAGAGGTGTCAAGGGGTGTGGGTCAAATGGTCCTAGACTCCCTAGCGGTAACGGTATTGTTGATTGATTTTATAGTGCTTGAGCTGTGACAGTTATAGCGTGTACATACACAATGGCTGATCTGTTCAGCTTGTTGTTTAGTTTTGAGTTGTGTTTGTTATTAATCTGGCCTGCTCTTTGCCAGTTATGAGTTTATAAACTGCATGTCCTGCTGTAACTAGGGGACGGTATTTTCATTCGCAATCAAGCATGACGTGCGCGTATAAACACTGTCACAGATATACTGCCAGAGCCAACAAAAGCCAAGATAGAGGAATATATACATAGAACGTTTATGTTTATGGTACGTGTGAAACGCGCCGTATTCCTTAAATCGGTCGATTTTATACGCGATTGTATTGTATCTGTGGCGGTTCTGTATTTTAAAAAAGATTTTAATAGTCGATATTGGGGTTCAGCGAGCTCTGTGATCATCCGTATAAAGCATTGTTTGTATATCGATACTATTCACAGTGCCTCTTAGTGAGAGAATCATCAGTCGTCCAACAGATACCTTATCAAAAACATCATCACGCTTAGTATGTCCCAGTAGTAGGAGAGACTTGATAGGAGTTAAACCATGTATCGCTTGTATGGGTTCTTGATTGTTCTGCGGTAGCTACGCTTCTGTGGAAAATCTAGTCACTAGTCGCTCTCTCATTCACGGTCTGTAGTAGATATATATGAAAATGCCTATGTATTGTTTCGTGTTGTGGATAGCGAAAATAAAACTCCGTACTGGTGACATGCAATTTAATGGTCGGGCGCGTCTTTTCAAAATCGGAAATCTGTCTCTGGAATCTGTATTGCATCAACGGTTACTACACTTCTATGGCGTAACTAATCTTCCATTTATCAATAGTCGTGAACAACAATACATGACGTTGCGTTTGGTTGATACTTCTTGCAACTTTTCTGCGTCAACGGTTGCTGCACTTCTATGGCGTAACTAATATTTCATTACTCAAAAGTCGTGAACAACGATATATACGGAGTTGTGCTTGATTAGGATCCCTTATTACCATTTTCAAGCTGGATGCTCTATCCAAGCCATGCGTGAGTATCGCGTACTCCATCGTACTAATCGAATAGTCATTATATGTCTTCCGCACCACATACACAGGCGTACTGGTGCGACAACTGAGTGATGACGAGCACATGACGGCAATCCCAGCTGTCAACGACTACCATCCCGGCCACGGCGAACTGGCTGCAGGCACGCATGGCAAAGTGCACATCTACAGCAACACAGACGACTCGCGGCAGTAGTGTTTAGCGCAGGTAGACAGGTCAAACCCTAGGAACAGGTCAAACCCTGGAACATGTCAAACCCTAGAAACAGGGCAAAAACTAGGAACATGTCAAACCCTAGGAATATGTTAAACCCTAGGAACAGGACAAACCCTAGGAACAGGACAAACCCTAGGAACAGGACAAACCCTAGGAACAGGTCAAACCCTAGGAATATGTCAAACCCTAGGAACAGGACAAACCCTAGGAACAGGTCAAA